TAAAGTTATTCTTGTTCAAAGTTATAAAAAATCTTTATTATAAAAAATTTGCTTGATTTCTATTGACTCAACCCCATTTGTCTTCTTGCAGCCACGGTTGAAAGAATTTATAGAACACTGTTGTAGAATAAGACATTATTCTTTTACTATTAAAAAGTGTGGGATAAAGCATATACAACTTGTTTACTACTTTGATGTTTCCAGGAGGAATTTGAACAACTTCATTATATTCTTGACCCAACCTCCGGTAAAGACCTTCACTATAAATCATTCGAAGAATTATATAGCACCACCACAACAGAGGAATATAGTCCTCACTTAAAGATGCTAAATTACGAACCACCAAGTCAGATAAAACAAAAGCTACTATGAAATATACCATGCCATTTAGCCCTCTTCTATACGTGCAAAAAATATTGGAATTATTGTTATTTGTGCCGAATGTGAGAAGCCATGTTTGTTATTTAGCACAAAAAAATTACAATTAAAAGAACGCAAGTTGTTAGAATCTTTTCTTGATACTATTTTATACATATGCGGAATATTGTTTCATAATATCTGTGATCTTGCATCTACCAAATCAATCAATTCTGCTGAAATTAATAAAAGTAATGATCACCAGAATAACGACCCAAATAACCAACCAAGTGATAATTGACAAAGTGATGACCAATTAAATGACAATCTACCAAGTGATAATGCTGCTAACAATATGATTGCTAGATCTAATTGCTCTTATATAGAAAGTATAGATGTTAGTGATGAAGAGAATATAGGTGAAGAGGAGATTAATGAAGAGGATGAAAAGGATATTAACGAAAAGGATGAAGTGGATATTAATAAAGAGGATGAAGGGGATATTAATAAAAAGGATGAAGGAGATAATAATGAAGAAAATGAAGGGGATATTAATAAAGAGGATAAAGAGAATATTAATGAAGAAACATCTAAAGCTAGATCAAAAGAAATTTCTATGGAAGATCTTATCTATAAGCTTTTCTAGCAAGTTTTTGTAAATGATTCTTGGAGTTGTGTTTTACTAATCAAAAAGCCTTACTATTTAGCTAGAATATTTCTTGTAGTGTGTTTTTTGTATAGTAATAGACATATAACAAAAACGTTGAATAATGAATAGCTATTGTGCATTGGGTGTAGTAGAAAGGCTTTATTAAAAAAATAGTATAAATGGTATTCAAGTATTAATAAAAAAAGAAAATGGCGCAGAACTGTGTAATATATAAATTACTTATAGCTTTTATTTTTATTGGTCTTTATAAATAAATCGGCTATACAAAATAGTTTTCGTTAAAGTTATTACTTTTATTAAAGTTATTACTTTTGTTAAAGTCTAATTTTACTAATTTTACATATATGAAATAACACGATTTGATTGGCTATCTACTTGCTGCGGCATAAAAAAAAATTTTGAATTTTTTTATTTTCAGATCTGGCCAGATATGAAAACTAGTTAATTTTATTTGTATTTTTAAAGTTATTTATATTCTTGAGCTTGAGTAAATATTGGACCTGTTAAGAAAATTTTACTAAGAATCTGCAAGTCTGGTATGTGTCTATATCTAACAAAAGGCATAGTCATAGATGCAGATACAAATATCTAGTATAAAGTTATTAGATACTTTTAAGATATAGACGCATATAAAGTGCTTTATACTATAAGCATAAAAGACTTAGTCTAAATTACTAGTACTAGAATATAAAGTTCTTGATCTAAAGATATCTAGAACTTCACATATGAGCCTACAAAATGTTTAGAACTTTGTATTCGTGGATACAAGCAACCTCGCAAACACTAGTGCCGAGCATGATATCTAATATGTCCAAGATGGGTATTTGCAGATTCCTAGTCTTCACTTGGATATTAGAAAGTATAGCTATTTATACAAAAGCATATATAAATTTTAGTAGGTATTATATGCAATTATTTTTCTACAACTATTTTTAATAGACATTTTAAGTTTGTGTATTTTGAATAATTTAAGTAGAAGACTAATTAGAAACTGAATAGTGCAAAGAAAATTTACTATAAAGCACTGCATTTAGTGCTTTCAGATTAAGATCTCAGTATATCTTAATACTATCATGCAAAATTCCGACTTATATCTAGCTATAAATTAGGTTTGCAAGAATAGCAATGTCTAATAAAAATGAATCTATATGATTCAAATTATCCTGAATTAAGCCTTCCTCCTTTGGGTACAAACCAAGTTAATCGTCATGTTTTTGATTTATATCCGGATATTGGTTACAATGCTTTACGAACTAACAAATATGATTATAAAAAAAAAATTTTTCATGATTTTTTTTTATTGATAAGAATTGCCTCAGGGTCGATTAATACTCTAGTAAAAAGGCAATTGGGTAAGCATTTAATTGTGCTATTTATCTAATGTAGCACATAATTCTAAACTCTCACTATTATCTAGCACCAATCTTATTTTATACAAGTTCACCAATGCTTTAAAAGGATTATTAAAAACATCTCAGATTATGTGATATGACCTTATTAGTAAATTTCAAGTGATCTTGGACAAGAGTTACTATACCAGCCTAGTTTTTGGATCTTATAAGCAGTAGCCGATATAAATTGTCATTTGGATATCTTATATATATATATTGAATACAATTTTATGATATAATAATGATCGCATTAAGGTCTTTTTAGTGTAGTATAGATGTACTTACTAGATCTATTTATTTGTCAAATATTAATTCTAACTCTAACCTGTATATTATCATCAAAATTAAATACTCATTTCTTTGCACTTATGGATATTAATATAACTTGTTCCGTATGTTTCTAACAAGAATGATTGTTCGAGCTGTATAATGATTTTTTTGTAATATGCATTTGCAACTGTTTTTTTTTAATAGCGTAAATAGAGGAAATTTTGTATTGTTGAATCTCTTTATATTTGCCGTATTCATCTGAACAATTTTAATACAAAAAAGCAACTCCAAGTCACTATACAATTGACTATAGTCTCAAGACGACTTCATTAGCATAATAGTGTAAACAATGATATTAGAAGTGGAAAAGCTAAAAATGGTTTGGTATTTTTATTCATTATCATGTATTATTAAAATATAATTTTCAATTATAATTTATTTCTTAAGATAATGTAGAAGCTAATAAAAATTGCCAACCATTTGTTATTTTCAAAAAATTGTTAAAGTAGAAAGTTTTAAAAAAGGTTTGTATATTGGAAATTTTTGATTTAAAATCGAAATTATAAATGCAAGACATTTATGTATTATCAAAAATCTACTATTACGAGAATCTAAATTATTGTAGAATAGATGTTTACTTTTTTTTTCTTTTTTTTATTATTTTTGAGACATATTTTGTAAGTTATAGAAATGACTACTGTCATAATTCGTTTATAACAAATCAATCGGTCCTTTTGTTTTTCATTTAACTATTAATATAAAATGAAATTTGAGGACAAAAGTAAGGCAAATTTGCCTACAAATTGTGATACTTATTTATATTAGATTGTAATGTTGTAATGTATATTATAACTCATTTTAAACTACACTATGATAGTGGAATAGTATAAGAGATCTATTAGGTAATATATATAATAGAGTGAATTTATATTAAAATATTCAAATTCACTCTTTGATATTAATAAATAATAAACTAAACTATCATTAAACACTATATTATTTCAGGTAAAATCTTCAAAAAAGGTATTTAGACTTGTTGAGTAATGCAACACAACTTTGGGATAGCTTACACTACCTCAAGACTATTAATTTACAGTTTCAACAATTCTTACTATGCCAGAATTATTAAATAAGGGTGTTCTTAAGCAGCTCCCTTAATATGATTAGTAGTGATTGAGATATTACTCAAATCATTACAATTAATTAAATAGTTAATGTGGTTAATCACCAATCAGAGCAGCTCTATGAAAAAAATTGGTGGTTGCAGCTTCAGGTATTTATAACCAAAATGATAATTATGATCAATTTTTTCAATCAAACAGATCGTTTGGTAAACACATTGGGGAAAACACTTGAGAACAGCCTAAGTCATTACAATCAAATTATAATTTTGAGATTATATTCTTAGGGATGTTAACAGTCCAGTCTGATACAATTTGGTCCAGTCCTGGTCTAGTTTTTAATAGTTCATAGTTCTAAGAATTAACTGATCTAGACTGGTTCAAACTGTTTTTTTTTTTTTAGACTGAAAGCAATATAACTTTTTTTAGTTTCAAACCAGAAACTAGCCTTAAGACTAACCATAGTTTATTAGTTTAGACCAAACTATCTATATATTTTTGTCTAGATTTACTGGTTTAGTGAGTTTTTGATAACTCAATAAATGCTTGTATAAATAGCTTGTTTATGTATCTAATAGTTGGTCGTGTTTAAAGATGCTAGTAAAACTAAGTTCACAATTCAACACCAATTTACAGTAGTGAAATTATTTCACTATTCTAATTTAATCTCACTAGTATATTAGTCGTTCTTAGTCTTGATTATACCACCCATACCAATATGTTTTGCTAAATCTGTAAAACCATCAAAAGATTTTGACAATAGTATCGGATTAGATTTATACACCTAAATGATAATTAGACCAGACCAAGTTAATTATATAGGGGGGAGTCAGTAGAAATAGGACAAATTTTTTCTAAATAAAAGTTTTCTTAACTTTAAGTTTAAATATTTTGTTAACTATCTTATTAAATCTAATAAA